TACTTTGTTCCTAAGATGGTGCTACTTGTGGGTGATATTGCACTCTTTTCACTGCACTCTTGTACCCTGTACTCGAGTACGTGACAATAAAACCTAAATCTAAAATCTATACACTTTGGCAGGAAGAATAGAAGAGCTGAATATTAGTTAAATGGAGAAAGACTGTATGAAGCTACACCATAGCAGGATTTTGGATGTTCTTGTGCATAAATCATAAGAAGTTAACATCCAAGTTCAGTGGTAATAGGGAAATTTAATGGAATGTTAGCCTTTATCTCAAACTGACTTGGGTATAAAAATAGGCAGGCTTTACTAAAAAGAAAATGAGGTACTAGTTAGACCACAGCTGGAATACTGTGAAGTTTTGGGCCCCTTATTTGGGGAAAGATACACTGGCATTGGAGGTAGTCCAGAGAAGGTCCACAAGGTTGATAGCAGGTATGGAGGGACTGTCTTATGAGGAGAGGTTGAGTAGGTTGGGCCTGTATTCGGACATTTCAAAAATAAAATTCTTAGGGGACGTGACAGGCAATATACTGAAAGGCTCTTTTCCCTTGTGGGAGAGTCTAGGACCTTAAGGCTTCATCTCAGGATAAGGTGTCGCACATTTAAGACAGAGATGAGGAGGAATTTCTTTTCTGTGAGGGTAGTGAATCTGTGGAATTCTTTACACAGAGGGCTGTTGAGATGAGGCGTACCCCGGGGTGGTATCCAAGGCACTAAGGGGCTGTATCTGAAATGTATGATTATAAGACTGAGTGACTACACCATTTCAGAAGGCAGCTAAAAGCAAAACACAGTGCTGTGGCTCAAGAATGACACATAAACCATATCAGGTGGAGACAAATGAGTGGGCATCAGAGTGGCACACAAGCCCACATCAACCCTACGACAACTGCTCACCCGAACTAAAGACCCACTCCCCGCCATGGACAAGACCAATGTCATCTATAAGGTCCCCGGCAGAGAGTGTGAGAAACACTACATCGGACAAACAGGAAGGAAACTAACAAGAAGGGTACACTAACACCAACTGGCTACAAAAAGACACGGCCAATACTCACTCATCTCAATCCACATGGATAAGGAGAACCACCAATTCGACTGGGACAACATCAAAATCCTGGGACAAGCTAAGCAGAGACAGGCACGGGAATTCCTAGAAGGCTGGTACTCCATGAAGAAAGCCGGTACTCCATGAACATAAGAACTAGGTGCAGGATTAGGCCGTCCGGCCCTTCGAGCCTGCTCCACCATTCAATAAGATCATGGCTGATCTTTTCGTGGACTCGGATCCAATTACCCGTGTTCCCACCGTATCCCTTAATTCCTTTATTGTTCAAAAAAAATCCACCTTATCTTTAAAAACGTTTACTGAAGTAGCGTCAACTACTTCACTGGGCAAGGAATTCCATAGATTAACAACCCTCTGGGTGAAGAAGTTCCTTCTCAATTCAGTCCTAAATCTGCTCCCTCTAATCTTGAGGCTATGCCCTCTTGTCCTAGCTTCACCTGCTAGTGAAAACATCCTCTCTACTTCTATCTTATCTATTCCCTTCATAATTTTATATGTTTCTATAAGATCCCCCGTCAATCTTCTGAATTCCAATGAATATAATCCCAATCTACTCAGTCTCTCAGAGACTGAAGAAAGCCATCAATAAACACATAGAACTCGACCCTATAAACACTCCACTATGAAGGAAAACCAGAAGTGAGGCAATCAGCTCAACAGACTCCAGAGTTTAAAAACGATGCGGGAAAACACACCGACGCTTCATCAGAGGCTGCACTGAGGACGTTACCCAGCATGGTAATGAAACATCTGCGGAACAACAAGCCAGCTCGGCGAGCCAACCAACCACAACAAAAGATTTCCTTTCCTAAAGTATACGAAATCACAGTAGGCAGCCAATCAGTCCATCATTAGTGTGCCAACTCTCCAAACGAGCATCTCAAACAGAGCCATTCTATAGCCTTCTTCCAGTAACTCTGCATATTACTTTTCAAATGACTGTTAAGATCCTTTTGAAAGCCCTGATTAAGCCTGCTTCCAGCACACCCTATCACATTCTGTCTGAAAACATTTCACATTGCATTATATTTTGCTTCCTGTACTTTAAATATGCAAACTGCCAGTGAACCAGACATGTTTTTACAATAATCAGATAGCTTTCACAGTCACCATTACAGGATGGCTCTTTTCAAGTTTATTTAACTGCTGCCAAAGTTGGACTTAAACTCACATCATAACTCAGTGTAGGCAGTACAGCTTTTTAAAAACTATTTCTGGGAAAACTAGCCCATAAAATCCACACCACCACTAGCTCAGAAAGGATTAACAGTTGGTTTATCATACTAGCTGAGCTTTACTTCAGTAATGCCTGTTTGAAGAAAGTAGTCAACAGTCTGAATAAGTGATAGGCTCACTGCAGATCAGATGCAGACCAGCCTGAGACAGCTATCCAGACAGTAGCAGGGGAAGAGGTAACTTCTGATGGCAGTCAGTGCTCGTTTCTCAGTAAGTTAAAGGAGCCATTCCAGTGTAGACACCTTGTGGAGGAATGTAACACCATTACCCATAGCCTGTTGAAGCTTTTGTCCTAAAAGCTCGAACCTGGGGATTAAATGTTCAAAGATTACATGTCAGTCTTTCCATCCAGTAATAACAGGAGGCGATGGCCGAGTGGTATTATTGCTGGACTGTTAATCCAGAGACCCAGATAACATTCTGGGGACCTGGGTTTGAATCCCACCACGGCAGATGGTGGAATTTGAATCCATTGTCGATTATCGGAAAAACCCATCTGGTTCACTAATGTCCTTCGGGAAGGAAACTGCCATCCTTACCTGGTCTGGCCTACATGTGACTCTTAACAACCCTCTGGACAATTAGGGATGGGTAATAAATGTTGCCTGGCCAGCGACACCCTCATCCCATGAATGAGTAAAGAAACAGAACTCAACATCTTGAGAAAGTCCAAGTTGTCAGATTCCACTCCTGGTCAGCCGTGATAATGAAAGGCTACACTCTAAGATGACTGCACAGAGAAATCTGAGCTAGTCATACCATTATGCTGCAAAAAAAGGGGTAATTCAGCCCACTATAAATGTACTGGCTCTGAAATTATAGCCATTCCCTCTCCCACTTGAAAGGCTTTTTTAAAAAAATCCAGCATTTGGAGTAAGGTTTTGGGATTTCATTCTTGTGATACAAGACGTTATTGCAGTTACAGCTCTGGACATTTTCCTCTTTTGGATACCTATCTAATTCCCAATTGAAAGCTACTGTTGAACCTGGTTTCATATGAGCACATGAATTGTGAATAGGCCATTTGGTCCCTCCAGCCTGCTCCATCATTCCACAAGACTTGTTTAAGGGCTTGGTACTTTCTGGCAGTGCATTTCATGTCAACTCCTTGTGAAAAAGAACAAGTCCCTCACTTTCCTCTGACAGGGATGCTGGCTTCTTCAGGGACCACGACTGTGGGTTCTAAGCTTCCTTCAACATTTTGTTCCAGTATCTTTCTTTGCATAGTGTTATAACAGTATGCATCAGCCCATTCCAGGGCCACAAGGGATGATTAGATGATTCAGTTTTTATATTCACACACGGGATGCAGACGTTGCTGCAAGGCTATCCTAACATGCATTTAGCATAATATTGACATTCAGCATTGCAAAAACAGGACAGAGGTTGTGGAAAAGAAAGGATTGCGCTAAGGAGACCAAAATGATCTTATTTTGGAAGTGAGACCTATTGTTTTGGTGCCAGTCTGTGCAATTAGCTGAGAAGAACAGGGTACATTTATATTTACCCTGCTACAAATAGAACTTTTCTTTTTGACCACCTGAATACAGTAATAGGGCCCAGCAGGGGACTTTTTGGTCCACTGAATCTGTGCTGGCTCTTTGAAGGCTCTATGCAAGTAGTTTTCCTCTGCACAAAACATCTCTTGGTTACCAGCTTGAAAACTAATTGATTCACCAAGACTGCTCAGAAGTTTGTATACCTTTATCAGCTCTCTCTTGTTCAATCTTCTTTGGGCCACAGGAGACGAAAAATCCCAACCTCTCTATGCCCTCTACATATCTGAAGCCCCTCATCTCTGTTACTGTGCTGGCAAATCCCCTCTGCATCCTCTCCAATGCCGTAAAATTCTTCCTTCACTGTGGTGCCCAGAATTAGAACAGGATACTTCAACCTAGAAGTCTAGCCAGTAATTTATGAGTTCCTCTAGCTCCTTCGCTT